CTCACCCTACTCTTTGCGCGGGGGATCGGCCCTGAGCTTGAGGCGGGGTTCTCCCCGCTCCAGCCTGAGCGGTTAGGGTCCGAGTCTCTCCAAACACCGGCACTGGGCCGCGCCTCCCAGCTTGAGGCACAGTCTCCCCGGGCAGCATGAGAAGCTGGGCTGGTCCCCTACTCGCCCCGAGCCGGGGTCCGTGCTCTTTGGCCTGGGGGAGTGTCTTCGCCTCCTCACCCCTCCCGGCACAGAGGGCCGGCATCTGGGTCTCTTCCTCGCCCAGCAGGCCAACCTGAGGTTGGCGACTCCCTGCTCAGAAGGGTCTCCTGACCCTTCTACCACCGCTCCCACCATCCGGGGTGATGACCCAGGGTCCTCAAACGCCCCCAGACACAATGTGTCCTCCTACGGTCTGTACCCCAGGCTGGAGTTTGGGGCCCCTGTTGGGTTCTCGAGTGGGTCCCAGAGCCCCGCCCCCTCTTGATACCCTTTCTCTCACCCCTGAGTGGACGCGGTGTTGATTGAGCTTGTCCTGCCCCCTGGCATGGAGTTCTGACCCCTGTACTTGGTCCACAGCCTTCCTAACTCCCATCTCCTGGACTCTGTTTTCTTCCTCTTTCCCCTCAGGACAGCATCTGTGAGGCTTTGAAACCCTGCTCCTGGGGTCTCTAAATCTCACTCGCAGTTTCAGAGCCTGTTTCCAAATCTTAGATGCTTGCCTGTATTCTACTCCCCAATGATCCTACTTCTCAGATCACATGCGCTCCCTACACAGCCCCCAAACCCCTGCTGTAGATCCTTTTATGCACCCAGCTCTGGCTTCTGAGCCCCCCTCCTCTTTCAGCTGGTCTCTTATGTTGATCCTTGGAGGTCCTAGCTGGTTTCAGGGTAGGCCCCTTCCTGTAGGATAGCTCCTGTTGCCTCTCCTCCTACTCCAGTTTGGGGTCCAGATTCCACATCCCATAGATGCCACCTCCTCTCCTAGCTTGGGACCCTTTTTAACCTCTTGGGACTGAACTGGGAGCATCTCCACCCCAGGGATATACCTTCTCTCAGGTGCCTCCCCGAGGTCAGACTCCAGAACCCTTGCCCCAACTCAGTTAGGGTTCTCCCCTTCTTCCCTGAGAAGTTAAGGGCCTTGACAGGGAAGTTCTTCACAGGACAGAGGCATTGCCCCCTGCCCCCTTCTGGTTTCCCCTCCCCAAGGTCCTGACCTGTAAATGTTTTTCTCTCACTCTTCTCTCTCCTTACATCTCCCTTCCTTTCCCTCTGGGATCTGAAATGCAGCCCTCTAGGTTTTCTGATTATAGGGTATTACCCTTGCTTCACCCCAGAGCACCT